TTATTATTATTATTATTATTATTATTATTATTATTATTATTATTATTATTATTATTATTATTATTATTATTATTATTATTATTATTATTATTATTATTATTATTATTATTATTATTATTATTATTATTATTATTATTATTATTATTATTATTATTATTATTATTATTATTATTATTATTATTATTATTATTATTATTATTATTATTATTATTATTATTATTATTATTATTATTATTATTATTATTATTATTATTATTATTATTATTATTATTATTATTATTATTATTATTATTATTATTATTATTATTATTATTATTATTATTATTATTATTATTATTATTATTATTATTATTATTATTATTATTATTATTATTATTATTATTATTATTATTATTATTATTATTATTATTATTATTATTATTATTATTATTATTATTATTATTATTATTATTATTATTATTATTATTATTATTATTATTATTATTATTATTATTATTATTATTATTATTATTATTATTATTATTATTATTATTATTATTATTATTATTATTATTATTATTATTATTATTATTATTATTATTATTATTATTATTATTATTATTATTATTATTATTATTATTATTATTATTATTATTATTATTATTATTATTATTATTATTATTATTATTATTATTATTATTATTATTATTATTATTATTATTATTATTATTATTATTATTATTATTATTATTATTATTATTATTATTATTATTATTATTATTATTATTATTATTATTATTATTATTATTATTATTATTATTATTATTATTATTATTATTATTATTATTATTATTATTATTATTATTATTATTATTATTATTATTATTATTATTATTATTATTATTATTATTATTATTATTTTTCTATTTGAAACTATTTCATACTGAATACACTGTATAACTTACCCTATATTTCGCCCATTGCATAACGCCATTGTCTGCAATTTTTGCTAATGTGCGAGTGATATACATACGAATTTCACGTCGTGCGGGTCCGTCTTTCGCAAAGTGTTGTAAAAGCAGTAAAAGTACTTTCAATATTACGGTTAAGATCATGATATGAATATGTAGGAAGTATAAGTTTACAAAATTATTCTAACAGCGATGCCCTGCCTCGTTTAGCAGCGCGTCTTCTCTGTCAAAAGATTCTCATTAATGTAACGACAAAATTGATTGAGTATTCACAAGGGATCACATCCTTTCCGAATATGTCCACGTCTTTCATAATCGATTAATATCCAAACAATGGGCATTGTTTATAATTTGTCGACTTGAAATAAATGCAATAATTATCGGAACGAAAAAAGTTAAATAACTACGAAGAGGTGCATGTACTGTTATCTTGGACGTGGTTTTTCCCAAGAGTGTAGTGGATAGTATAATTAACGGTTTTTTTTAAATTTTGGGCCACTTTGATATTATCACATAAAGGGTGTAACAGAAATGTTTAAGAACTGAAAGGTAGGTGATACAGATTATGTTAAATACCTACATTTTTAAAATAACATTAAATATACAATGTGTCCCCGATTTTTTTTATTGTTGATTTTTCGAGAAAGTTATTCTTGATAAAAAGTTTTGCTTATTCTGAAAGCCATGGGCAGTAATCAAATATATAACAAAACATGCAGAGCGTCCAAAAAAATTCAAAATGTGAAATTTTGCTTAAGCAAAGCCCTTTTAATTTTTATTAAACTGTATTTGACAGTTGTTTGGGAACTTAAGAAATGCTTAAATAAGGGATTTAGTAAAAAAATAAGAATATTCACATTTTCAACTATCTTAAAGCAGACAGAAATTGTAAAAAATAAGTAAATATTTATTTTAAATTTAAAATAGGCAATATAAAAATAGCTTGGTAGAACAATTTCCGGGTTGGTTGCCACGTCGACAGTTTAAATTCTTGACGTTTCGAGAGACATATCGCTCTCTGCCTCAGAAGTAACTCTGAAAGTTTTCGAGTTTTTCAAACTTGGAATAAGAACATAAATTTTAATTGTAATAACTTTTCTCAATATTTTTTTTGATATCATACGAAAATGCGCAAAAGTGAGCAAAAGAGAAATACATTATATACAGGGTGTTTGTAAATAAGTGCGAAATATTTTAGAGGGGGGTTGCCGAAGTATTTTGTGAAAAAAAGTTCATATAAAAGTAGGTCGAAAAATGCTTCGTTTCCGTGATACAGTGTTTAATTTTTAATTTTGTATTTATTTTTATTAATTATTATTTCAGAGTTTTAAAGATATTGACTCGAAATTTGATGGTTGTATTTTATTTAGAAATATTGACAGCAACCTACTAGATAGGTAATGTATCAATAGAAATTAAAAATACACATCTTGCAATAAAATATGTTTCCTTTTTTCCTCCAAAACGGTGCATCCTACGAATAAAATTGAAGAGACCAATTTCATTCAGAAGTGATGCGGATTTCTAAAAAAATATCAAAACAATGTACCTAAACATTAATTTTCGTAAATAAGCAAATTTATTAGATTCGCGTAACGAATGTCAGAAAATATTTGTAATGAAAATAAAATATTGTATACTACTTTTTAAAAATTTTATCAAGAAGTTTCGCTTTCAAGTGACCTATGATTATAATATTTCTGATACAAAGGCGTTTTTTTCTAGATGTCGCTAATACCAAACATAAAACCATTCTTAGTAGGTATTAAATAGTGATTAATAAGTGGTTGTTAAATATAATATTACCAATTTTATATTTGTTTTAAGAACGTATATAAATCAACTACTAAACTTTGAACATGTTAATAGTTTTTGAAAGCGCCTATACGTATATTATTCATTTATATTAAGTATTAGAGTCAAAAATAGAATAAGGCTGTGGAAATAACATTCCAACATTTTCAGAAAATTGTGTACCCATTTTTACCGCGATTCTCCCATTCTACGTGGTGCTAAAAGTATATGCCGTCTGGTTAAGCTACTTTTCTTAAAAATGCAACTTGTTCTGTGCATTATAATCTCCACCAAAGTTAAATTGATCCTTGCATTTTGAAGGATACATCTTTCAAAAAAAAAAATAAAGTATCTTACACTGTCGTGTTGTATTTGTAACATAACAACGTAATCTTTTAAAAAGTTATGTACGAATATTTCACATTATAATTCACTGTACAATTAAAAACAATAATTTTAAATTCTTTTTCTATTTTATTTTAGAAGAATTACTGATACAGCATACCTGGTTCGGTACGTGCAAACATAAATAATCTCTGTCAGTTGTAAACGTATCTAAGGATTAGTTATGTCTTCTTGACTACGTGAATATTTTTCCAACCATAAGCAATTAATTTAAAACTCAACAACCTTGTGATATGTGGTATAGCACCGGATTTTTTTAAAACTTTTATTATAGGTATATGTATTCGTATACTTATTTAGTAATACGCTTATTTATGACTGTTGAAATTGTTGAAAAGTAGTTTTGATGACGGGACAGTTAAAATAATAATCAAAACCACGACCATAAAATTATATGCTTCAACTGTTTTATCTAAATCAGTTATTTTGTTAACATTATTTTTATTTAATACGTACATCGTAAGATCGTAAGCTACATATAGTGTATTAACTTTGGTGGAGTTTCAAACATCTTGATGCAAACTTATGCAGCACCAACTGGATTTACTTTTATAATAAAGGAACAGGAGCTATTGGCTAGCATCAAGAAAAATGTATAACGTCTGCAGAGATTTTTATGTCTTCGAAATAATGGTATCCATTTTAAGCAGCCGACATTTTTTACGCTGTTTATATATAAAAGTGCAGCATGACTCTCGATATGAGTGAGTTTTTAGCAAACTGCGAGAGAAAATAGACTGCCCAAGATGAACGGAGTAAGTTTTGTCCAATTTAATTATTATTTTCCTTTATTACTTTGTGACTTAATCATAGTTTAATAACTGTAGGAATCATTAGTGGTTCGTTCCTATTTTATTTTAGTTTTAATAATTATGAGTGTTAGTGTTGTTACTTCGGCAAAAACTTCCTGTAATTAATTTTATAATTGTATGCACTAAATTTACATAATTTTCTTGTATAAATATACTATTAGCATTCAACTAGTTCAATATTCATTGCGTTTGAATTATTTTTAATATCAAAAATATTAAATTAAAAATGTTGCAAAATTATTTTCTGTGAAAGTAATCTTTCTACTAAGTATATTGTATTTATACTTTATTGAAAATTTTGTTACGTCCAAAAGAAATTAAAACTTTTCATTAAACTCTTGAGCCAAAACAATCAGTTAGGGGCTGAGTTTTATAACTTGTAATGGTTTTAGTAAAGATTAATAAAAAATATTGTTTTGTTGCTTTAGTTGATTCTAGTAGCCACGTCACTCTTAGCTTTATCGCAAGCTGCAACAGTGGTACCAACAGATTCTTCTACGATAAATATTCAACAGTCAGGAAAAGACTTTTCATATAGCATACAACAAAGTCCAGGTGCAGATGCTGTAGACACACCTCATGCGATCCACCAAGTGCCAGCCCAAATTGCTTCCATTGACAGCAGTACTCAGGCCCAGATGGGATCCAATCAAGATCAAATTCAACAGCAGCACCAAATACAGAAAAGATTGTCGGAGAAAATTCAAACTGAAATTAATAAACAAGAAAAGGTGAAGGTTATAGATTACACAGTTCCTATACCCGAAAATCAGTTGCAGCCTCTACCATCTAATAACGTCGTTTACATATTGCCTTATACTTTTGGATTACACTACCCTCAGCAATTTATAAGATACATTTGAATATTGATGGTTAATTAATTTGTAACACAAAAATTACGACACAAATAAATTCTTCTTTTTCCTTGGTTCTGTTTTTTTTTTTGTTGAAAAGCTCCCAGTTAGGTTTATTGTTTATTTAATATATAAGATTCATTAATTTTAGAACACAACGTCAGACTAACCAGTTATAATAATAAGTATCAACATTTTTGCCATAAAAATTTATAATAACATATATAAATAATACTCTGGACTAGATATGAAATATTAAGAAGTAAGCTTTAGGTCAATGCAATTTATTTTCATTTCATTCATTGTTAGTAAATTTTTTGTAATTCTGTTTATTTATTTTATATAATTTAGTGAAAAACATTTATTATGTTTCAAAACATGAAAATTATCTGAAGGTACATGGTGAAAGTATGGTCAAACATAGAAACATGACATTTCACTTTTTAATTAAATATTTTTGGTTTCTTTTTTAGATACTGACATTTGTCGTTATTTCAATTTTTTACGGTAATTTCTTTTGCATTCATATGTGATACATTTAGTACAGATTTTTCTCATCGAAAATAGATTCTTATTTTAAAATTAGAGAAAAAATCTTATATCTTAAAATGTTATATGGTCCCTTGAGGTCCTGTAGTTCCAAAATTTATTATTATAAAAACAAATGAACATCGCATAAGCGACTTCTGGAAGTGAGTTATGTTTTTATAGATGAAACATTTCTTTATACAGTGTGTCCCACTAAAGTCGGCGAGGTACGATATTAGGTAAAGTATAGGCCCTAGAACTTCGGGAAAAAAATTTGGTTAATAAATCAACCAAGAGAATCGCTGGAAATAGTTTACAAGTTCGTAGCTTGGCCGCTAGGGGGCAATCTACATACCAAAACAGATAATTGAATTTTTCTTTTGTTATTGTTTTTGTTATTATTTTCAAGATTGTTATTGACTCACTCATTTGGGCGGGCTTAGGTAGGTTCTTTTATAAACGCATTTTGTTTTGGTATTTAAATATCTTTTTGTTAGCGGCGTTAACAACCTAAACCTGGATAAATAGCGCCGAGAAATAAACACTTCCGTTAGAAATTTCAAACATATTATATTCATCAACTTTTTGTGCTGTATTCATTTATGTAAAGAAAACTATAGCATTGCATTTAAAATTTTCGAGAAAAATCCATAAAACGGCATTCTTTTGAAATAACGCCATCAATAGGTTTCCCTATTGAGGTAAATGACATTATGCATTCACCACGAGATAAAGCATGAAAAAACCTTTCCAACGAGATATAACACTATGGGCCAATCCTTAAAAAAAATGTATTTTTAGACATTAGCGGCTTCCCTCGCCCTTTCTGTCGAGAGATAGAACAAAATGTCAATAACAAAAGTTATGCGCAATGAATTCGGCTATTCATATTTGTACTATTTAATATACCTGAATAGAAAACATTCTGAGAAAAATTCAACTCTGTTTTGGTATTTAGATTGCGCCCCCTAGCGGCCGAACTATGAACTTGAAAACTATTTTCAGTGATTTTTCTTGATCGTTATATTAATCAAAATTTCCCGAAGCTCTACGGCCTATACTTTCTTTAGTATCGTACCTCGCCGACCTTAGTGGGAAATCCAAACATTTTTTTGTTTAAAAATTATGAATAAATGAAATGTTTGCTGCAGTAGTTCTTTCTAGATAAGACAAAGTCATATCGACACATGATATTCATTTTAGACCACCTGTCCTCACCACCTCTCTGTTACATAGTTAATATTGTACTTATTTTGAGTTACAGAGAAATGATATTTTGTTTCTTTTCATTGTTTAGTCATGAAAAATTTGATGCATCAGTTTAAATAAAATATTATAAATCTTTGCCATTTTTTAATTTGGGATTTGGTATCCAGCATAATTAAAATTTATTACGATATTAATCATAGGTGAATCATATATAAGATAGATTTTAGCCAGGGCGTTTGCACAGTTGATGTCAAAAAAAAAATGTTTTGCAAAAGATTGAGCTGAGTTTAGAATTTCATTATACGGTTTATCTTTGGTTCTTTGTTATTTTATTTATATTAAAAATAAAATGAAATAATTTCGGTCCGTTGGGGGGGGGTGGCGATCGCCCTTAGATCCGCACCTGAATAGTACTAACTTGAATGTATGAAGATGCAAATTGGAGTATCTATAGTGGTGATATCAATTAAACAGTATTAAACATATAAGCAACGTGCCTACCAATTTTAAATAAAGGGATTTTCATTAAAAAAAAACCTTGCATTAACAAGCTGCATATGAAATTATTTTCAAAACCCAGTACAATACACGCGTTTACAGTAATAGGCAACCAAATGTACACCATGCGTTAAACTGACAATAATACCACAAAATGAGTGCCTATTATTTAAAAACTTGAAATCATAAATTTAGTATTATAAATAACATTTTTTTATTGTTTATATATAGTATACTTATTATAATACATTTTAACAAAAATATAACATTTCATTGGCAGTAAACATAGGACATTGCTCAGCATTTGTAGTAGGTGATTATCACATCACAGCCTGTACTTAGTATTTGGTATCAAATATGTATCCAAACTTCTTCTTTTCGTTACTGGGCGGTAAGTAACTATTTACCACCACGTTACCAATACGGTATGTATTTTTAGTAGATGGTAAAACCGGATTTGGTTCAGATGAGTAACTAGTTACTGGAATACTGGGATAAGAACTTTGAGAATTATATCCTCCAGATCTTAACTGTGCTTCATTTAATCCAGGTGGTATACTCAGGGATCCACCAGTAGTCTTAAATCCCTGTTCCGCACCCGCTTGATATGAAAGGTCATGGCGTCCAAGAGAATTTTTGAAAGAAAAACTTCCTACTACATTGCCGTTGGCATCTGATGACTCTGTTCTTTTATATTCGTCGGTGTCAATGGAAAAATTGTACGACGCATCACCAGCACTTTGCTCATTATCATTACTTGGAAGTGAAACTGAAGGAGATATTGACTTGTAACCAGGAGATTTTAGAATGGTATTAGAATTGGACAAGCTACCTCCAGTTGGCAAAAATCCTGTGGCAGAACCTGCGACAAAACTTAAATCATGGACGCCAGCAGAATTTCTGTAAGAGAAACTTCCTTGAACGTTGCCACTAGCATCAGAAGTTTCGGTTCTTTTGTAGTCATCAGTATCAATGTTGAAACTGTAAGAAGAATCTCCAGTGTTTGCCAAATCATTTTGTTCGGGAGGAAAATGTCTTACTGGGGATGTTGCTTGTGGATTGCTATAAAAAGCAGGAGTTAAAATGCTAGCACTGCTACTTCCAAGACCGTTTGGTACAGACAAGGAACCACCAGTTACTTGAAAACCTGTGGCAGATCCTGCTACATAACTTAAGTCATGATTACCAGCTTGATTTCTGTAGGAGTAGCTGCCTTGTACGTTACCACTTGCATCACCTACTTCTTTCCTTGAAGAGTCCTCGGAAGAATACTCAAATCTGTAAGATCCATCGTCCGGTGTTAAAGAAGAAGAATATGCACCTTGGTTGCGTCCACTAAATGGTGTCTCTGAATTTGGTATTGTACCAGTTGGTTGTGTGGGTAAGCTATTGGGTTGTGACAAACTACCTCCAGTAGCAACAAATCCTGTTTCAGATCCAGCTATGTAAGTTAAATCATGAATTCCAGCAGAATTACTATACGAATAACTTCCTTTAACATTACCATTTGCATCTCCTGATTGCTGCTGAGAAGCATCAGGAGTTAAATATGAAAAGGAGTAGGAACCATCGGCATTAGGAGTGCTAGATGAAGAAGAGGGAATGGAAGGACTGCTACCGCTGTGGGCTGTTGGATGATTATAAGTGTATCCTTGAGAAGGAGAGTTACCTTCAAGACCATTAGGTGTCGCTAGCGACCCTGAAACAGCTACAAAACCAGTATTTTCGCCCGCTACGTATGTCAAATCATGTGCTCGTGCTTCATTGTTGTAGGAGTAACTTCCCTTAACGTTACCGCGTGCATCTGAAGTTTCTTGACGTTTGTAGGAATCGGTGTCGATGTTGAAAGCATACGATGCATCACCAGTTCCGGTCTGAGCATCATTATCCTGTTGCGGGTTTGAATACTGCCTTAAAATTGGAGCAGCAGGTGGGATCGAAAGTGATGGAGAAGCTGTAAAATTGGAATATAATTATAAAAATATAAAAACTTACTTATTATGTTTTAGTTTTAGTTAGGTTTTAATTTATCCAAATTACACCATCTAAAAATGTAAAGAGGAAACATTGGATATTTAGCTTTATTTAATTTATAAATCAAATTGTCCATTGTCTAAATAATTTCTAGTTTGATTGTCACATTTAGAGTTCTTGATTCGAGTAATAAATAGACTGTGCATCTACAGATGAAACTGAAAAACAGTGTCTTCTCAAAATAGGGGTATGTTTCTTGAAACGTCTATGAATCTAAATCTACTGCAACCATTAATAACTGACACGAAAGCCTACAGACTAAAAGATCTACTGTTGAACCGCCTACCTTGTGGAATCCCTTCAGGCACGAATCCTTGAACGCCGGCCGTGTATTTTATGTCCAGTTTTTGTCCAGAAGGGCTATTGTATAAGTAACGTCCTTTAACTTGATTGGAAGCATCTCCCGATTGCTCAGCAGCAGATCCATCACCTGTGTCGTATCCATACTTGTACTGTCCGTTTTCATGAAGAACGAGGTATTGAGATCTTCTAGCTGTTGGAATTTGGGGAAGTGCTTCCCAACATTGAATGGAGTAAACTGATAAAACGATCAACAAAACCTGTAAATAAACAAAATGCCATAACTAATCCGCAACATCGTATAATATGTAGTTGAATAGGAAACATGCAAATTAATGTTTATCTTATATAATGTGTTATATTATACACACAAAATCTATTCTATTTCGATTATATTAAAATTCTATACCAACTATTTACTTTGTTTCCCGTCAGTTTATTGTCAATTTCAATATAATTACCTTTTAATTCAAATGATTTTCAAAAGTATAAACAAATTGATTACAACGATTTGAGTTATGTAATTACATATGCTAAAAAATCGCTTTTGTAAAATTTGAATTTTTGAATTGGTCAAAATTTTAAGTATCAAAATGAATTTATAACAGTTTATTTGATTCGATTATTGTTTTGAATTTAACTTCAACATTCTATATTGTGCAATAAAGTATTAGTTAATGTATTATAATGTACTAATGTTAATAACAAATTGAAATTGATATCAGATTTTAAAATGGAGAAGAGCAATCTCCAAAATGCGGAAATAGGTTAGCTCATTTATTGTGGTTCATTACACGAGTCATTTTCAAAGAGATGAGAAACAAGAAAATTGATAATTTCGTTGGAACTATACATTATTTACCTAAATATATCAGGTATGTATTTTTCCATTCAATATTGAATAGACAATTATTAATTAGTAAGAGTCATAACACTTTTACTAGTTATTGCGGAGTAGTTGCCCACAATATCACTAGTTGATAATAAGTATATCATGTTTGAAGTTGCCTTTTGGCATTCAGAAATATTTTTAGACTTGATTTAAATTAGTTGAATTCCTTTTAAAGCAGAGTAAAGTACTAGAGCTAATAATAAAAACATATTGTTAAAACAATAATTCAAAGTTTTTGCGAAATATAATATTTTTTTTAAACTTTTAACTAATAGTAGCTTGTGTCTAGAAATATTATTTGCGAATTTGTAATTATTATCTACCTATTTTTTTATTGTGAAATTTATAATTAGACAAAAATAAATGTGTGGTTCAAAAATCTAGAATCTTGGTTCATTTTTTTTTAGTAATATGTATAGTACATTCAATAAAATTTTCCAATTATTGATACAAATAAATAATAGTTAAATCAATACACACTAGCAGATATAGATATCAAGTTGGCTTGGCAGCTACTAGAGAGTAAAATACTTACTATTATTTTAAGCATTTTGATGGGCCTGTCTGTAATCTAGTAAGACACTGTCACACCACCGATACTAATAATATTACTTAAACAAGATCACTTTATATATATCCACTTATTAGAGGTGTTGATCTACATGTCAGTGATGTGATTGGATGATCTGGGGACGTTCAAGGATTCTCAAGTACATATTTTTCATATTAATTGATCCAAAAAGACAATTTATGTTTTTAAATACCAATGTAAATGGCATGCCACTTCGTGTCAATAAACAAAACCATCACTGGTTTACTTTGGTACGTTTACTATAGGTTAAACTTCGTAAAATGACAAGAGATCATATTACTTAAGACTAATAAAAAAAAAGCCGTATTTATATGACTTAATTACTATTGTTAATATTGTTGTTCGGAAAAGCACACCAACATTTTATCTATAAAAATTTTTGTTTTTATACTTTTACTTTACGAACTCTCGACCCTTAAAAAATGTAGCGATTGAATGAAAATATAGAAAATTAATTGAATGCTTATAAGAATAGGAATAGCTGAAAATGGACAATGGTTTCAATATATTATTTATTAAAAAGTTTTGGTTTTAATTTTGAGAAAATATAAAATTTTGTTACTGCTACTTCAACTTGGTTGGATCTATTGCAATTGGTTATCATAGAATTTTAATCCGACATAATCTGTAAGAAAAATAAAATCAGAAAAGACTAAAATGTCATATTTTTAATATCTCTTTATTTTTGGAAATTTATTTCAGTGAAGTGTTTGACATGGTAGTCATAAATGATTGATATTGAAGATATTTACATAAAAAAAATACGTAGGTTTTTAATTCTGGCAATTTATCTAATTAATGATGTCTATTTTGTATAACAAGCTCGACATTACGTTAAACTATCAGATAATTTCAAGGTGTTTGCCCATCCCAAATTTCGCTAATTTCTGTTATAACTGATCGTAAAATATGCACTGAAATATCCCTCTATATTATCATATTATATGCTAACAAAGTTTGAGTTTATTATATTTTTTTTATATTATCATTTTCCTGTAACGTTATAACAAAGTTACTATTTTTTAACTGTTGAATATGTTTTTCTGTTATAGATAGCAGTTTTAGCATTTTCAAAAAAATACCATACCTTTGTTTATAATTCTTCACAATTAAAAAGAGGTAACTGATGGAAACCATAATTCTTGCAAGTGAAATTGTGTTTTAAAACTGGTACAAAAAATATATATTTTTTTCAACTAATGCAAAAAAACTGTCTCACACCAATATTCTAATTTTGGAAAGAAATTTCTAAATCACTCAGTATTAATTGTAGGTCAAAGGTTTATGGATTTCAGTTATTATAACCTCCGTGTCAAGTTTGCATAAAAAAATTGTAAACTTTTAAACATTTCACTAATGTTTTATAAACAATTGAACAAATTATAAACAGTTTAATAATTATTTACTTAAGTTTGTAACTATATAAATACAGTACGGTAATGTGAAATTTGATGTTCAGCTTTAATTTTTGGTTATTCACAAACATTGCACCGTTTATTGTGCACCTCTAGAGGTAGAAATAGTAATTTTCATCTTTTGTTTTTAAGCTACTTATTTCAAATTTTGTCATTAATATAATAGAGTAACAAAGGCTTTAAAATATATTTAAGCAATAATTTTAATTTTAATAAATACGTAATTAATTTAAAATTATTAATTAATTAATTAATAATTTTTTAATTTTAGCTAAAAGTGTCAAAAATAATAATTAATCAAGTAAGTACGTTATCTATGAACAAAATTTATACGACCTCTCTCGACTGCTTCTGGAACTTGAAATAAACCGCCTATTGTCATTAATTTTGAACACTTTTTACCACTAATTGTAAGAAGCATCTTGAAAACCCAAAACAAGAACCGAAGTGAACATCAGGGCGGACCTAGGAATTCTGATAACGGGTCCACCGCCACAGAACTTAGCCTGAGAACAACGAGAGCAGGTGTAATATTCCCAGATTCCCCGTCATAATAATAGTGAGTCCAGTTTGAAATAACCCGAAAAAAGAATTATGGGCGAAAATTACTATGTCCACCCCCGAAACTAAGACCCCAAATATAAAAAAACTGCTGGATGTAATTATATTTGAAGATAATCCGCTGTTAAAAATGGAAAATTGATAATTTCGTTTTCTTGTAATGTAACATCCTGTAACTTGAAGACAAATGATTTCCGGACATGTGTATAAGAATTTTTTTCATTAATTTGTGCCCCATTATTTTAGTTAAAACTAGATAACTGCTAAGTATTCAGTTTCTTAAAGTTTTCTCTTAATCACTTTAACTTATTTTTTTAAAGATTTGATATTTCTAAAGCTTTATTTATTTGCGTCTTTCGATTGTTGACTTTCCACTTCTTGTAATCAACTATAAGTAGCTATTATGAAAAACATTTAAATTTTCACGTTTCGAACGAAATAAAAGCAATTATCCGCAGAAATCGAACGTGATTTGGGCCACTCCCTGATCTTCGCAGACTGCATTCTTACATGGCAATTAAGAGCAAGTGTTTTTATCCCAAACGCATCAGCAGGTTCTTCTTAGTGGTATCTTCGTTGACCTTCAAAGTCTAACTGATTTTTTCATGACGTTACACTTCCGTCAATACATTTTCAGTCACCATTAATATAAAACGTGTCCGCATCAAAAATAGACTTGTATACAAGGTGCTCATTTATGCCAAATGGTAATTATCTAATTAAACAATTATTATTAATTGTTAAACGAACTTGAATAAAATTAAAGATAAATACCCCAAAATAAGAAAAATTATTCATATACGCATAGGTCGTAGCATATTTCGATTTCCAGATACAGAGTTAAAATTTAAAAAAAGTATGTCATTTATTTAAATATGTCTTAAAATGATAAACGAAGAATAAGAACTTGAGGTAATGACTTACTGATTATGGAAAAAAATTATAATTAGAGTTAATACATACAGAAATGTCAAATTATCGTTTCGTCATTATTAAGTTATTAAGCTTTTAGTTTGCTATAACATTAGTGTTAATAAGTAATTAATTTTTCTTTTATCGAAAAGATTGGAAAATTTTACAAATGCGGAATTGTCAGACATGCATTTTGTCTATGGTCGAAGTAATGGAAATGGTCGGCAAGCTCGACGATTGTATGCTGAGTTGTATCCAGGACGTAGGGTACCTCATCACACAATATTTGCTCGTCTTCATCAACGTTTGCGCGAAAATGGTTCATTTAAGAAACAAACGGTTGACTGTGGGCGCCCTCGAGAAGTACGAACTGTGCAACTAGAAGAAGCAGTTCTCGAGTTAATTGCGGAGTCACCTGAAACAAGTACTCGAAAAATTGCCAACATATTGAATGTAAGCAACTTCACTGTATTTAAAATTCTTAAAGAACAGCAATTGTATCCGTTTCATATTGAACGTGTGCAAGCTCTACTACCTAGAGACTTTTTTCCGCGCCTATTTTTTTGCCAATGGATTAATCATCAAATCGCTCAAATTCCTAATTTTTTAAATGCCGTTTTGTTTACTGACGAGGCTACTTTTGGACGACAGTGTATACGAAATTTCCATAACAATCACTTATGGGCTGAGGAAAACCCCCATGGAATCTTTGAAGCTCATTTTCAGCATCAGTTTTCCGTAAATGTATGGCTTGGGGTAATTGATGATCATTTAATCGGTCCATATTTCCTCCCACAACGACTAACAGGCGAATCTTATCTTAATTTCCTACAGGAAGAGTTACCTGTTCTTCTTGAAGAAATTCCTCTACAGCTGAGACAACACCTATGGTACATGCATGATGGTGCACCAGCCCATTTTAGCATTAATGTACGTAATCACTTAGACACAGTATATCCAAATCGTTGGATAGGTAGGGGAGGTACGGAACATTGGCCTGCTCGATCGCCGGATTTAAATCCTCTTGATTTTTGCATTTGGGGTTTTCTTAAGTCATTAGTTTATTCCACTCCCGTTGAAAATGTTGATGACCTGAGGAATCGAATTATAGTCGGCTGTGAGACAATAAGAAATATACCAGGAATATTTGCGCGAATACGACAATCAATGAGGCGAAGAGTTGAATCTTGTGTCACGTCTGAGGGAGGTCATTTTGAACATTTGTTGTAGCTTTGCGCCTTTTCAAAATTTTATTAGTGTTATTTTCTGTTATTGTTCTGGTTTAATGTTATTGTATTAGATAGTTCTTGATAATGTATTAAAGAAATAAAAAATACGCGTTAAGATGTTTTATTTTTTTGCATCAAAACGGCGCCCCATACGAAGAAAAGGCAAGAGAGATTTTTTGTCACAAATTGAACGAGGAATTCAAAAATGATTTTTAATTTGTAATATCTCAGTGGCGTACCATTTTTTTCTTTAAAAAAATTGAGATTATTACCCGTACGCGCGCCAATGATGAACATAAAATTCTTAATTGCGTGTCAAAAAATGCGCAATAACTACCTCTTAAAACCCACCAAATTTCATTTGCACATCTCGACCGGTTTCAGAGCAATAAATTAAATCGTCAGTTTTTAAGAAAAACTTTGACACCCCGTATCTCGGAAAACGAATCATTTGCGGACATACGTTTATAAGCAAACTGCCATTATTTTCTCATGTACGCCATAATTTCGATACCACTAACAATTTTCTGATTGGGAGAAATGCATTTAATTCCCGTGTGTTTCTAATAGAAAAAATGCATTCTATTTTATTCAAAAAAGCGATTTTTTGAGTAATTACTTATATCGTTAAATACAGAGTTATTAAAATGTATGCAAAGGCTAAAGTAAGATAACTATCGAAAAATCGTAATACGCAAATAGTCCAATCAGTCTGTCACGGCCTAATGTTAAATTTGCAAAAAATACCACCTGGAAACAAAAAATATGGTGATATAGGAAAAAAATTCTAAGAAAAATAAATAGTGTGTTTTTTACTGTGGCGCATAAACAGCGAAGTTAACCTAAAAAATTCATAAAAAGTCAAAAAAAACGGTTTTTCACTAATAAAGAAAAAACTCTAATCGAAAAAAGTTAAATGAGAAAGTTGTAGCTGTTAAAAAAAACTATCGATTCGTATTTTTAGATATATCGATTGCAATATTACTTTTCGAGATATATCGAAAAAACCGTCAAAAATCGATTTTTTTGTTTTTCTGTATCTCTTGCAAATTAAGGTTTTGAAACTTGTTACTTGCTGTAAACGTAGCGCTCGGCAAGCAAAAAAGTGCCTTTTTTAAAATTAAAAAATATTAAAAATTTTTCGAGTTATACAGATTTTTCGAAAAAAGGTCATCTCGAAAATCGACTCTTCTTGCTCTACAGGTAGTCGTAGAAAAACGAATCAGGGCTCATTTTTTACCTTACACTTTCATGGTAAAAAAGAGTTTATTCATTTCAAGTGTCCAAAAATGACTTTTAAAATTTTTTGGTCGTGTTTTTCTTGAATATCTTTTTCGATTTTCATTTCTGTATGTCCACTACAGAAATCGATTGCTGGCATTTTTAAGCGAATTTAAAAAGAAACATTGCTCTACGACCTTCTGGAGCCGAGATATTTTTTTTTTTCAAAAAATTCCACAGGCCGCTATTTAAGTCTACAGCGACTATTCTTACAGAGATTGAAGACTTATATTTTCAATAAAAAAATACTGTGGTTTATTTTAGCCACTTGTGCATTTTTAATTGTGCGTCAAACCGAAGCATTCGAACGCGAGCTACCTGTAGTGGGCGACGGAGTGGGGGTAAAGCTACTCGGCCGCTTCGAAAACTGAATTCGCTCATTCAGAAGCGCCCTTACTCTCAATATCTTCATGAAAACTCTGCAATGTTTTTGAAACGGTTGATCTAGAAATAAAATATCTTTCCAATCGGGATGCAATTAATGAAATATGTCCACAACTTCGTCACTTGTATCGCCATATCATATGATCAAGGGTGTTACATTAAAAAAAAGCAACTTTGTTTCGTCATGACTTTTTGAATAATCCTGTATACTTAATTTTTCTTTATTGTGATAGATTTAAAAAAAACCGTAAAACGTACGTGTCTTATGATTTTTCGATAACTATACGTTAGGAGATAATCGGCGTTCCGTACATATCAGCGACCCTGTATATTATTCGCTTCACACAAAAATATATAGGAATTTTTTGTATATAACATTAAATAAAGCTAAAAAATAGGTACTTACTGGTCATTTTTGCTAATAAAATTGAAAACTTTCATTTTCTATTATCAATTCACAAAATATTGAGTGTCGTCGAAATTCTAAGGTTCTTAAATAATAAAAAAAGTTAAAATAGGTCATTACAGAAGTTAAGGCGGCGGGAAGATCTTGAGTGGAACACACTGTATGTTAACGCATTTTCGTAATCCATATTCAGCCCCCTACGTTATAGATATTTGGTAATTTCTATAAGTATGTTACAACTCAAGTAAAGACATATCATTATATAAATAGTTTATTATAATTAAATAGAAGTTATTCCTAATATAAATACATCTACAGCAAAATGAGATTACGTGTTAGGAACTAATGTGGTCTCAGCAGTCGTCTCAGTGGCAATTTTTTCACTTTTGTCCTCAGTTCTGTTTGTACTGACAATCTGATTTGAAGATTCATTTAACTGTTCAGTTCTCATGTTGGTGTCGACTTTATATTGTTCGCTTGGGGAAGGAACACTCGGACTAATTGGTATCAAGTCGATGGCTTGCACGTGTGCTCTTACGGAAACTCCAGGCGGTACGGTAAAAAGCTTATCGCCGACATTTGTGACGATTGTTCCTGCGCATCTCTTGCAGGAATCATCTGTAGCCCCAACATGTATAACAGGTCTGCTGCTAAACGGAGGTCTAGCATTGCCAGTTTCGCTGCCAAATAAACCAAAATCACCGCCTACTTCATTAGAACTTTCTCCAGAAACGCTTGGTTTACCTGATCCATAACCTTCGCCATAATCAACACTCCCTGGAAATCCGCCAGGTTTTACTCCTGATGCAGTGGTTGAAGGAGTTAGAGTAGATGAAGTGCTTCCAAGTCCCCCAGGACGTGGCAAGTCTCCATGAGATGGTTTAGTGGGAGGAGGAGGTTTATAGGAGCCATCATCAGTGATCCCAAGTCCCCCAGGTCGTGGTAAGTTTCCATAACCAGGCTTAGTTGGACGAGGTTTATAGGAGTCATCTTCTGAAGGCTTGTAAGAGCCGTCATCCTCATCACTGGATATTCCTGGTTTGGTTGGTAATTGCCCTGGTGTAGGCCTACTCGGTTTAGCAGTTGTGCCACCAATACCACCAGTAGTTCCAGAGCCTCCTGTACTGGCGCCGCCTTCTCCAAATAAATCCCCAAAATCATCTGTATCTTCATCTGTATAAGACGGTCTGCCAAAGGTAGGCTTATTACTCGGCCTTACAGGCTTCTTATTGCCAAAAGTGAATTCGTCTTGGTCTTTGTCTTTGCTAAAATCAGTACCATCTTCTTTTGAACTAGGTTTACCATCACCAGGTTTTGCTCCACTGGGTTTACCTCCACTAGGTTTGCTTCCACTAGGTTTAACATGACCACTAGCCGCTGTATCAAATACGTCACTATCTTTCCCATAATCATAGAAATCTGGAGGTATGATTTCAGGGCGTCCGAAAGGAAAGACGGTCGGTAAATGTGGACCTTTGACAGTCTTCAGGACTCTGTATCCAGTTTCCGGTCCCGCGATGTAGTGAACTGAATGTTGTACTCCTTTGTCGTCTAAATACGTATAAGAACCACGGACATGGCCAGTAGCATCACTTGTTTCTGTTCGTCTTTGATCAGGTCCAGCAGATACAAATCTATAAATCAAATAAAACAAGTGAATGTAAAATATTGTAACCTACGTGCATATAGAAATATTCGCATATAGAATATTTATACCTGTAACTTCCATCGAGGCCCCTTTGTATAGAAGTCCTTCCCCTTGGAATAGGTTTCCCTCGTCCGTTAAAGTAAAGTGGTCCATAAGCTCTGGGATTGGAATCAGGAAAAGGTGTTTTAACATGAAACCCTGTATTCTTGCCGGCAACAAACTCGACGTTGTGCCTTTCTCCAACGTCGTCTAAATAGGAATATCTGCCGGTTACGTCACCGGCCCTATTGGCATCTTCCTGTCTTGTATAGGTACGCGTTCTGAAAGAAAAATTGTAGCTTGGATCTTCGTAAGGGTCAGCTAAGGGGTCGTCGGGAGATCCGACGGGTCTTGGGCCTGATTGGTTGAGATCGAATTTTCTTACGACGTTTTTCCCGCGAGGTCTGAAGCCGCGTGGGCCGGCAGTGTATACCGTCGAATCGAAAGCTCCTGCAATGAAGATGGAAAATTAAAAACCTTTTATATGTTTCTGTACTTTAATAAAAAAGTTTATGTTATAACTTGAAAATGAAAGTGCGCACGAACAATTTGATCACACTGTCTTATTAACACTGCAAAAACCTTAAACTTTGTAATTTAAAATTTCTTTGTAAAATAAATAGCAACGGAGCTACAAGCATCTGAAAAAATTGGTCGAATTCGGATTCTTGCAAATATGTAGTCAGCCATGACATTTCTTCAAAAAATAAAAATAACATTTAATAAGGATCAAAGACTGCATATCTTTCCTCACTTAAGATTTTTTATATCTCTGCTAGATCCCTACACTAAACATCGAAAAAAACTCACCCTGTATTACAACGATTTCCTTTTTCCAATGTAAATTGCTTGATATTGTTTAGAATAAATTCTATATGTTTTTTAATATAAATACTATGTAAAACAAACCATATACTTGTCACGTAATTTATTATTATTTTTTAAATAAAAATTATTTCTTTAAAATAAAAACAAGTGTTTTTATTTTCTTTCTTTCTTAGATTCTTTTTATCGAAAAGTAATATTGACTTTGAATTCTCATTAACAAAGGACGCGATATTCATATCGAAATTGGCATTTTTATGGAATTTACTATTGACTGCATTGATTCAAAACCTAGTATAGCCTTGAACAATATACGGGTGATTTTTTTAACCTGAGACTTTGAGAATATATTATTGCTAAAATTAGTTCCTCCCCCCCACTCCTTATAGATTAGACTGGAGGTAACTTTGTAATTTTAAATAGGAACCCCTATTATTTATTAAAGAAATACCACGTTTTCACTGTAAATAATCAAATTTTGTTTTAAAACAAATTATATTTCTCAAATTTTCAGTTATAGCTAGCTGTTTTACATTGACAATTTATTCATGAATAAATTGACGAAGTTCTTCATAAATTAATACACGAATTTATTGGTAAACAGTGTGGTTTTACACTGCTACAGACTTTGTCAAGTTTTTTGACATAATAATCAGTTCTACCAATGAATAAAAGAAGCAAAAAAATTTCAAAAAAGTCACCTTTCCACTCATAATTGTAGTGATACAACAGCGGTACCGTTCTGACACATATTATATAAATATTAGTTATTGTAACAAATCAGTAAAAACAATGCAAAACTAGTACGACGCCACACAATTATTTACATATTCCAATAACATAACCTCATTACTGATCTGAGGCTGGAAATCTGTTGAAATGGTACTTCTGAACTTCACGAAGAAATTGACGAAAATTAGAACATGCTCTAATTCGTCAAGAACTTGATGAATAAATTCATGAAGTTATTTGACAGCAGATTTGGTGTATTACCAATTGTCCAATTTCTTGATGAAGCGATTTCATGAATTAATTGATCAATAAATTGTCAATGTAAAACAGCTATTACTGAAAAATGACTTGTCAAGAAACTACTATTATCTTAATCAAGGAACAGGCGTCCGTTTTGGGATCTTTGCTCAATTCGATTTTCTTCGCTTATGACTTAACGGAGTGCTTGATTAAATCTGCTTTTAAATAAATGTATCTTTTTGTATTTTGTTTTAAAGATACCATTTCTATTGTTAAATATTATTTTTATGAAAATGTTTTATTATGTTTCCATTTAACGTTTGTGTTATTTCTTTCTTTGTGTTTTTTGTGTTTGCAAAAACACGAAATAAACGTAGAAAGAAAGAAATAACTTTAAAAAACAAGATAATTTAATCAAGTATGCTGAAGGGAACAGAAAACTGCTATGTCGACGTCGTCAAAAATAAATCAATTTTGAAACAAAAATACTGAACGTAAATATTAAAGATTGATATAAGAAAATGCAAGAAAACATTATGCATACCTGTACCAGGATTTCTTCCCCCAAATTCTCCCTTTACAACGTTATTCCTATTGGCGTCAGCGAAGTGGTACGAGTCAGGATTATTATAACCAAATTCATATGACCCATCTCTATGAATGGTATTATAACTGTCGTCTGCTCCTTTAACTTCCTTCAATGCAAGAACCAGGAGAGGAATCCATAACAACAACTAAACAAAAAAAAGTCTTTTGGAGTGATAACTTGTTTATTTCAAAAAACATATCTTGTATGTTAAATTGCGATGTTAACTGCACTAACATTATGTTTTAACTTACACCATCCATCTATATTTTTAAATGAAAATAAATATTTGTGGCACTGCAAAGTTTCTTCAAGAAGTACAATTTCTTACTGAGGGAATTATACTCTCTATTCGACATAATTTTCTTAAATAATTAGCAATGATCGCTATGTATTATAATTATTGCTATTACCATTACAGACATTATAATAGAAAATGAAATTTCACTTATGTTTTGTCTTGGAAATATTTAGATTTAGCACTGTACTGTTTAGTACTGTACTGTATATTTTATACAGTACCATATATTGTTACATCAGTGCAATATAACTATTGAAATTAATCATTCTTCGTGAAATACAAAATATTTTTGTATAAAATTGTACAGATCAAGAATTTTGAATATTGATGTATTAAATATTTTTTTCTTCATTTGACGTAATATTGAGGAATAATTAAGCTACTGACTTATTATAACCGCTATAAGCATACTGTAAAAAAGTGAAAAAATCTGCACGTATCGTCTTTCCATTAATTAGCCCATTTAAAATATAACAGTGAATTCAGCTCATTTAAATAATCATCTCATTTAAATATTGATACTTGGCTGTTCCAATGATATGCAAAAAATTTAGTACCGTGTGTAAACGTGACAATTTTCAAAGTAGGTGTTAAGAGATGAAGCAGAAATACGTGTTTATAATGAATTACTACTATATATAAGTTTCTGGGATGGGTCATACCGCTTAAATTCATTATCCAAATATCTGTCATACATTCGAAATTAGGCTCGTTTATTTTGATTACAAAAAAAACTTAAATCCTTCAATGTTTACACTATTATTCATTCTGCTATTATCGAAACAAATGGAAAATTGAGTACGGCTTTTTTAAGCAGTTTAGTATAGGTATATATACCTACAGAGTGTCACTAAATAAAAGGTTGTTAACGTAACAATACAGTTTTTAAAAAGGTAACCGCCAAATTATTGTTTATCAATTTGTAGAAAACATTTAAACATAAAATTAGCCAAATTTTGTGTTCCACAAGTATTTGGATATTTTTTCTGAATTTAAGAAAAACGAGGCACTGATTTTGTAGAAGTGAAAACAGTTCATAAGTATCACCACAACAAAGCACAATAATCCAACAGGAGCGAACACAAACAATAAACACTGTACTCACATTGTGGAACTTCATATTAAAAAATATTCTATTCGAAAATCTCGTTGAAACTGAATTTAAAAAATGATAAATAACCTTTTATACTGACTAATCAGATAGTGGGGTAGTAACACTATTTTTTTGTTCGGCATTGTTTTAATAAGACATATGTATATGGTTGCCCAAATCAAATAGTTCCACAATTGTAATGAAATGCCTTCAGAGCTTGTTTGAACATCTGGATCCCGAGAGAATTCCTTGTACCATGAAGATCGAAGATGGCCTTGCATATTCCTTAATGGTCTGCTGGGCGCAATTAAGATCCCGGACCCCACAATATTCTAATAGCTGAGACTCTTTGACTTAAATTATTCACGATTCGATTTTGCAACACATCTTTTATATTTTTATTTCATTAAAGTATTAATTGCTTATTGTTTTAATTGCAACTTACTCGTAATATTTTGTTAATGGCTTTAAATGTCATATTTATTAATAAACTGCGTTTATAACAGTTCATATTGTTTCTTTCATTTGAAGGTTTAAGATGATAAAGATCTTACGCTTTTGTGTAATTTTATTTTAATAATCTGCAAATTAAAATTATCATTTTTCAAGTGACGCTAGTATCTCAGCCTTATAATTTATCTAAAGAAAGTTTTTTCATTACGCATTTGAATACAATTATCCTGTAACTGAGGTAAGTTAGTATTGCTTTTCTTCTGCTAATAATAAAAGAAACTGTTTTCTTTTAATGGAACAATTTTGAAGCAGTCCATCTACTATTTTCTTTTATCAGTATTAATATTTTTAGTCCATTAGAAGGTTATTTATTTTCTTAAATAAAATCTTCAATTTTTTAGTGTAGTAGTAAAGTGTATATTATCGTAGTAAAGTATAGTATAGTTAATTTAATCAAAATACTTAATGTTAATTTTTTTCTGATAAAAGTTGGCTGTCCAGCAGATTTGTTATGAAAATTTTCCATACTCATTATAAAATTCCTCATGAATTTTTATAAATATACATAACTTAAACATAATTTATTTGTTTGCTGTAAATTAATTTACAACTATGATTAATTTCTCATTAAAAATTCACCATATATCTCTTTTCAGTCAAAATAATCAAGTTTGCACATAGATTTGCTTTCCAGCAAAGTTATAGATTTCTAAATCCAATATATTAAATACATAGAAGCTATGTGATTTTCATCACGTACATCTTAATTTTTTCTTGTGTTTTAATCAATAATTAAATATTGAAAAAAAAGCATTGAATTTATACCTACAATATCTAGTGAAAGCTAGGATTATTTGTCAGTAGGACCACCAGACACATACCGGTTTCAAACTTTCCTTCAATGCATCCAAACAGACAGAGCAACCTTAAGTGTTGACATTGCAGGAAATAACTACTATAATAATTAATTCAATTCTAGTCAGGGCACTAGTCTAAACTAGAATTGTTGTTTCTTACAATATAATCAGTTAACTTTTGCCAAAGAGAACTAGTACCTTGTTTTTGACCAAAAGCTTACGTGGAACTCCACATCGAGCAAGAATAGCCTTGACATGTGCAGGGCAGCAAATGGTATGCAAAGACTAGATGTCTAAGCATCAATCGGAAATCCTGCTGAATCTACCACCATTCTCTCAAGAAGAGGCTAGGTTATGTTGCACATATGTTATATATTACAAATAAGTAATCCATTGATTGCCTGGAGGTAATGAGCAAATCTGTGCGATGAGATAAAGGCATATTCAGTTCTAAGAATGTAAAACTGATTATTTACACCGAGGTATAGTTGTCAAAAGTATTTCAAGATATCATAAAGAAAGGACGGGATAAGGGTGCGGGACGGGGAAAGGGAGGAGGATATCAGAAAGAGAAGAGACTCAAAGATAGAGCACTAATTTGTGGAATTAAAAGGTTCAAATCTTGAAGGAAGAACTCATAGAAACTGTAAGATGAGTAATGGTTAGTAAGGAGGTGCGTTAAAAACCAATTAATCGTTGTGAACACTTTGGTAATAGTAGGAAGCCAAAAGGACTTGCCCCTAGTTTTTGTACTAGACCACGACCATGATGGACATCGAAGCAACAGGCATACTAATTAGATAGACTCATTTACAGAACTAAAGGACTTGAAGTTTCCTACAATATTGCAAGCTGAGTTATTAAATCTTGAAATAATGGGTGAATGATGAAACCCAAAATAGTGACAAGGAATTAAACAGAGGTAAACCAAGATGTTCTTAAAAGTACCAACTAAATAAGTAGTTGACGACGTACCTACTGAACCAAAATCACTGTAAATCCCCTCGCCTCTCACGAATCAGGGTGATTTTTCAACCATAAGTTCCCTCACTCCTCACGATTGTTCAACGGGTGAACCCTCTTATTTCTCACGAACTGGTAGGTTTTCACACGAACACCCCTTGGAAAGTTGAAAAAGTACTCCGATTTCGGAAGGCGAGGGGACTTACGGTTGAAAAAGTACCCTGAACTATGAGAGACGAGGGGACTCAAAAGTTACCCTGAATCACACCCCACTTGACTTTGTATGAAAATTGCCATTCCAACCCTCATAAGAGCGTGTATGTGAATGGCAAAGGGTGCTGGGGGTTGACGAGGGGGTTGGATTCATTTTCGGCAGTCTTCTTTGTTTTTACTACTAATTACGTTTGGAGAATAATATGTATAGTAGGGTGGTCCAAAAAAAGAGAAAACGATTTTTTTTTCGTCTCTTGTGAAAATATGTTAGTTTATCATGTTTTAAGAGCCCCCTCAAAAAATCAGCTCAAAAAAGTTTTTTCTTTTTTTAAAGAACGCCATATTTACGGAGATAGCACTCCCTTCTGTTTTACTTAAAAATAAAAAAAGAAGACCTTTTGAGACAAATGACCTTTACAGTATTAAAAACAATAGTTCGACTTATCGTCAGTAAAAATTGGAATTTTTTTATCAGTTAACAAAAAAATTACGACGAGTTAAATTGAGAGGTATCAATAATTTTATATGCAGAAAACCGTGATCTTTTCAACATTTTCATTAATAACTAACAAATGGGATAACGAAACCAACTGAAATTTTAGCACACAATAGAGTAATAGTGATGCTATATATGGTCGAAATTTCAAATTTTTTGCCCCAACGTTTTCTTAATATCGGTTTCCAAACTCAAAGGTCTATTTCATTTATTTCGATAGTAAGTGACTAAAAATAAGCAAAAGTTGATTGTCAAGACAATATGAAATTAAAATCGTGTTAGTTATATTTATATTCAAGAATGTATAATTTTTTTGGTCGTAACTTTTTTCATTAAATATCCAGTGGTTTCCTTCTTATTGTTAAGTAGCTTGAAGATTTGTAGATTTGTAGATTGAAGAAGAAATCTACCTTAGCCAGGCTAATTTTTAAGCTGTAAATTTATTTTGAAGCTATCAAGGAAGTGGAACATTAATAACGATTTTATGTGGGACACCCTGTACGTAAAATTTAATATTTATTCTTAATAAAGAAAAATTAGTACATATTATTGTTTTTTTATGCGTTATATTTTCGTACTACTTAAGCTTTACAAAATTTTATTACTTAGGTACTTTTAAAAAATTACCCATATGTATTTATATATCAAAGATAATAATATTAGACCATTATGCTTTATTTTAGCATGCATTTATAATAAACCAACTCTGTGTTTTCTCTTTCATTTTCAAGGGTAGCGACACCTGTGACAGAGTATACAAACTAATTATACTTACAAATTCTTGTATTCAGATAGAAATCGCTATAATTCTGGTTTAAATATATAATAAAAATGGAGTCGTGTGTAAAATGTTGTCATTTTACTTGAGGACACAAATTATAGAATTATTAATAAATATTAATCTGAAAATTAAATACAAATGATCCTAGGTGTCCGTTCTAGTGAGTGAAGTAGTTTGGTTATTGGACCTGACCTAGTTCCGTCGTAAATGCAATATATTGACAGACTAACAGTATGGTTAAAATTGAGGTACTTTGGCATTTATTTAAATTATTCTTCTGTTCCCATGAGCATTGAAATTTATCTCACTCACTAGCGGGAACCATTGCGAATACATTGATATACATATAATAATATTCAATTATGTTAGTTTCTTCGATGATTTGTGTCCTCATCTGAAGCTCTGTTACACGGTAAAAATATACATACTAAATCGCCCCCTTAATATCGCCCACTTTAAAATTTTTAGAATCTGTAGCCAGCAAGGAACCAGGTTCATCGAATAATTTGTAACACGTCTTTCACCATTCAACAAGATAACAGCGGTCTCTTTTAATTTTCTTTTAAGGCTATTATTTTTCTTTTCCAAAATTTTAGCCAACTTTTATATCAATGTTTTACAGAAGTAGGAATTAATGAATTCTGTATCAGCTTTATAGGTACTGATTCATTCTGTAATTGTTACTAATACTACAGCTTAATACGCAATATCAATGACGCGAGTTAAAAATTCCGTCTCTATAATTTTCGATCAGTCATTTTGACCGCCATCGAAAATTGCAAAAGTTCACAGATTGTTCTTAGTTGCTGTTGCATCCGGCAAAAATTTTAATAGCTGAATAACTAGTATAATTTTCTGCAGGGATCAGATAACTTTATTTTGGATACCAATCTAGGATGACCACCACGTATAAATTTATGTTTCTAGCCTTGTTAAAGAGGAAAGGAAGTTGCGCACTCCTGTATCTCTTGAAGTTATCGACCATTGTTGTTGGTAATTATTAAACAATACGAAGAACGGTATCGTAAGTTTATTGCTTTAAAACTATTATTAGGGTGGATTTGAGTTAAGATCCAAACTAAGCCTCAGTTATTAATTATTTCCCATCATTAAATATGAATTATAGAATGATTCATTTCCATTTTGAAATAAATATGTAACACTAATTTCTTCCTCTGTCTTAACTGTCACCAAATAATATCAAAAAATACTCGAACAGTAAGCAGGAAAATTAAATTGTTAGACACAATGTTTTCTACCAAAAATGA